GGCCCAGGTACCGCAATGCCCCGTGCACATCCTGCAGGAAAGCTGCACTGGGGACACTGGTTTGCTTCCACCTTTCTTGGGGCAAACATGGTATCGCAGGTCAGCTCTCATCCTCTCCTCTCCTCCACGCAGGAAACTGTCCACCCTGAATGCCTGGATGACGGATAACAGCTACAACACAACAAAACTCTGGGAAGATATTGAAGATATTATTATAAAGACTCTTATTTCAGCTCACCCTGTTGTGAAGCACAATTACCAAAGCTGCTTTCCGAACCACACGACTGGCTGCGCCTGCTTTGAGATTCTGGGGTTTGATATTTTGCTAGACAGAAAGTTGAAGCCGTGGCTGCTAGAGGTGAGGAAGGAGTCTCCTGCTGTGCCGAAGCAGCTCTGGAAGCAGCAGATAGCCAAGAGCTGCCTTGTCTGGGGGAGGCTCCAGACCGAGGGGTGGTGGGATGAACGGGACTCGTTTGATTGAAAAGTGCCGCCTCGTTCACAAAATTAAACAGGCTGTGGAGACAAGTAGCCAAGCAACCTGCTGCAGGCTGAGCGGGATCTAAGAGCCTGTTCCCTGTGCCCCTCTCTAACAGCAGGGAGGCTCCTGAGCCTCAGGACTCCTTGACCCGTAACAGCACCCTGAATTTATGATAGCTGCCCCCACCTGTAGCGCTGCAGGCTGTGGGATCTGAAGGACCTGCAGAGCGGATGGGCGTTACGCTGCAGGACAGAACCAGCCACTGCCTGCAGCCTCCTGCTTTCTGTCGCTGGTACAGGGAAGAACTTCCATGGAAAGTGTGCGGTGGGGCAGACTGGGGCCAGCGAGCTGGCTGCTGGCAGCGCTTTCTGGGAGCCGGGAGCCGCCAGGTCCGATTAGCTGCTTGCTTTGGCAGGTGAACCACTCGCCCAGCTTCACCACGGACTCTCGCCTAGACCGTGAGGTGAAGGATGCTCTTCTCTGCGATACCATCAACCTGATAAATGTGCACGCCTGTAACAAAAGGAAGGTGCTGGAGGAAGACAAACAGCGGGCCAAGGAACGGCTCCTCCAGGCCCATCAGGCTCTCCGTGCATCCAGGTTCTGCTCTTCCCCATCGTGCTGCAGGTCCCCAGGGGGAAAAGATGGGGCGTGGCGGAGCAGGATAAAACCAAGGCTGGCTGCCTCCAAATTAAAGCTCCCAGAGGCCGTGGCACTATACAGCCTCTGAGAAGAGATCTCCCAAGCCATCTGCATCCTGCAAGGAAGAGCCAGGGCTCATCTCTGGGCACTGGGAGATCCGAGACGCCCGGTGCTCTAGGCCCCGCACAGAGTCACCCCCATCGAGCTGTGCCTGCTTGTCACGTCCGACGGGCAGTGCCAGCATCCCTGGGCTCACAGTGACCCTCTCCAGAGCAGGGTTCCTTTCCCAGGGCTGAGGGTTTTCCCCTCCTTCTCTGTCTGCATGTCCTTTCATGAGGCCATGTTAGACGAGCCTGCTGCCCGGGCTGCCGCGCAGGGCGAGGCAGGAGCTCCCTCCAGCTCCCAGTTCAATTAGGAGACCCGAGAGAACTCCGGGCTGGAGACACGCTGAGCGTGTTAGCCCTGTCCTCTGCCTGCCCCTGCAGCCTCGGCTGCTCCGAGCTCCCTGCTGGCGAGGAAAGCTCCCAGCAGCACGCCGGGCGGCAGATAAGCCTCGGGTAGGCACGTTTTAACTGAACTTCTCTTGTAACTGGGTTAGTTGGGTGAAAAGGCTGAGGGGCAGGGCGTCAGCGGAGGGATCTGGGAATGCTTCACCAGCACCCTACAGGTAGAGGATGAAGAAGCACGGGTTGCGTTGGTTCCCTGCAGCGCACCCATGTGAAACAGCCTCCCAAACGGGGAAAGTGCTAGCCAGGCCCTCGTCCCTCAGCCAGCACGGCACCTGGAGCCTCCCATCGCAGCTCCCCGCCTGTGCTCTCTCCCGGTTTGCAGGCGCGAGGAGCTGGAGAGCAACCAGGCTGCCTGGCTGTCTCAGGCAGAGAAGTACGAGAACTCGCACCTGGGTGGTTACCGGCGCATTTATCCGGCGTGTGGAACAGAGAAGTACGAGCCATTTTTCAAGCAGAGCAGCTCCCTCTTCCAGGACACGGTGTCATCCAAAGCCCGAGAGGAGTGTGCCAGGTACGCTGCTCCTGCGGAGAGCCCACGCCTCACAGGGGTGGCGTAGAGACCACTTGCTTCTGATCCCTTTTGGGAGCAACTCTGCTGCTTAGCAGAGGTAAGTGAGCTGGTGGGAGCTGGAAGGGAAGGAGTCCGCATGTGCTATGGCACCATAGCAAAGCAGCTTCCCTTCGCGTGTCCCTTTGAGAAGCAAATGCAATATTGCATTGACTTTTGGACTGTGGAGGTGCCGTGTCACAAGTGCCCTCTGCCTTTCTAATTAGGCACAGCCTAATTCAAGGGCATTTCTTAGAGTGGTGAGGGTCTCTTTTAAAAGCACTCCTGGCCCATTTCTCGGCACGCTTCTGTTATGGTCTATTCACTGCAGAACTTCTGACTGCAGTAAAATATCCTCGGATTGAAGGCTTCGTAATGGCCTTCTGCTATTATGGCTCTTACCGAACCAGTGACTAAGACTGGTGTTCTACCGCAGGCAGCAACTGGAGGAAATCCGCCTGAAAAAAGAAAAGTTGGAAGCTATTACCAGGAAGAAGAAAACGGAGAGGAAAGACGACCTGCATGGAGAGTCAGCTGGGGACAGATCCCAGATCCATAATAAAACCACAGCTCCTGCAACCCGCCTCACCTATAGAAGCAGGACGTGGGATAGAAAGGTACCTTGCTCTCGTCAGTGGTTGTCCGTGGGGCTCCAAAGGCAATAACGTGGCTCCGGGAGCAGCGCTGGGCCGTGGGTGGCCCCCAAGGAGCAGGACTACGAGGCTGGACTCCCCTTCATCAAGTCCGGGGAGCCGACAGCTTGTGCTGGGCGGTTCTGGCAAGCGCCAGTGTTGTCCCTTCCCTGTTGCGGCTCCCACTGGGATCTTCGTCCCACTCCACCCCAAAGTCTGTAATTCTCCTTAGGGCTTGGAGCAGTCCGTGGCTTTCTCTCTTGCACGTTACTACAGCTTCAGCTCTGCTGTAACTCAGGTCTTTCTTTCCTAAGGCACAGCGCATGTGGTACGACTCTATGCAACCCCAGGATATTGTGGAAGCCGAGGAGAAGAAAAGAGTACATGCCCTTCTGCAGCGTGAGAACCTTATCCGAGGCCTGGGCATCATAGATCAGCTCTCCCAGCTGCTCCCCACAGCCGACAGACCAGCCGATACCCAGAGAGCCTGCACCGTTCTCTCCAAGAGCCAGGTAACTGAAGATTGCCCAGATCCATCCTTGCAGGCCGACATAGGAGACAGCCATTCGCGGGAGGATCGTGCGGAATGCATCGTGGGCACTGAGCGTCTCTGCTGCGGCTCGGTTAAATGAGATCCAACATAGTCTGGGTCCGTGGGTTTCCATACAGTTACCGACTTTGTCCCTTTCCAGACGGGCGTGCTGGGGCTGTGCCGACTGGCTGCAGAGAGCCCCTCAGCACCCTTCCCCAGGAGACCCTTCTGCCCGCTGTCCCAAAGAACAGCCCACACCGATGTTGCTGCTGTCCCCAGCACACAGCTTGGTGGGAGCTGCTGCTTCAGGGCAGTAGCGTGATTCTCCTAGCTGAACAGGATTCATTTTTTGGTAGGCTAGGAGCACTGACGTGCTGGGAGCGTGGTAAAGGAGCGCACAGCAAAGGGGGACTGAAGGGAAGCGTAGGGATGTCTAAAAAAGAAAGTCTTTAGGCAAATTCTGCACTGCAAGCAACGCCTCTCCCTAGGTATCTCGCCGTTCCCCAGGCAGGGCAGGCGAGGAGCCCCCCACAGGTTAGCCCATGTGCCCAGAGCCCCCTGGGGCTCAGCCCTCGGCCTGGGGCTCAGCCCTCGGCCTGGGGCTCCCCCTTTGGTCATCCTCGCCCTGCGAGAGCACGCTGCAGCGGGGACCGGGGCTGCTGCCCCGTCCCGGGCCCTCGAGGTGCACAGCTGGAGCAAGCTGGGCTTCGCAGAGGGTTGCGCCAGGGGACCGGGGTTTGGACCTAGAGTGAAAGGGGATCCGCGCGGTCGTCTCAAATTGAGTCTTGACTACCACGCTGATTCCCAAACCGGGCTACCACTGCTGCTGGTCTAAAGCCAGACGAGGAGGAAGCCTGCAGTCTGTTCTCCATGGGCTCCGTTAGGCTACAAGGGCTGCTCTGGAGCACTGACGGTGGCCATCCCCTGCTGTGTCAGGGAAGGGCTAGTTCTGGGCCCACAATTCATGAAAAGCTGCAAGGTCTGTTGCCTTCCAGTGATGCCCTCTGCTTCCAGAAAGGCCTCCTGCTCCCGGCTGGAAGGGTAACGCACCTCAGAAGGATGCTGACAAACTCAAGGCACCAGAGTTGCGGGAATTATTGAGGACCTAGGAGTCTTCTAGTACCTTACAAGAAATTGGAAATAGTCCATTTAATTTAACAAAAGAAGTCTAAGATGGGATTTGATCTGCAAGAACGGATGGTAGCGGCCTTTTCCTCTACCAGACAAAGCAGAACAGAACCTGAAACCGCAAACTCTGCCTAAAATCTGGATAATCTTTTCAGCAGCGAAGGATTATCCGGGGGTGGGTCAGATCCTTCATCGCTGCACTCCTCCCAGCCCCTCGGGTGTTTCTTCCCACAAACCCTGCTCCAGCTGAGCCCAGTGTTACGGGCGGAGGGCGGGAGTCTCGGCACTGCCGCAGGCAGATCAGGCAGGCAGCTGCCCTGACCCTGCAGATGATGTGATCTGGGACGGTGGCTGTGGCGTGCCTGGGGAGAAAGCGCAGGGCGATGCTTTAGCCTGCGCCTGTAGGTGACTAGAGAAGACTTTTCCTTCCCGTCTCTCGCCAAGGCCTCCGGAGCTAAGCTGCGGCTGCTTTCTCTCCTTCCAGCCGCAGTTTCTCTGGGATGCACTCGGGGGCCAGGAGGCCCACGGCTTAATGACGCTCGTCCCCTGCTCGCTCCGGGGAGGCCCGCTCCGGCCTCGGGGACGGCGGTTGGTACACAACCCCAGAGCCAACGCCGAGCTGCCGGCCGGCCCGGGCTGGGATCCTGCCGCCGCGGGCACCCTCTCGGTTCGAGGCCAGAGCATCCCTTACCGTGAGCAGCACAAGGCGCGGCGGGGCCTCCGGGCGCAGAACGCGGGCTGGCTGCGCAGCCAGGCAGCGGGGACGGCAGCGGTTCCCCAGCCCTGCGCCGAACCCACGGGGCTGCAGGCGAGCGGCCAGCGGCTCCCTGGTGCTGGAAGCAAGGCCGAAGGCTGTGAGTACGCGCTACCTTCCTTTGGCTCTGCAGGGAGGCGTAACTCAGCGAGCTGGCGGCGTGGGCAGGCGGCTGGGAGCTGTGGATGTTCCTGGGCTTGCTGGGGCAGGAGCGAGTGGGCTGGATGGAGCGCAGGGTCCCTGGGACTTCTCTGGGAACTGGTGACCGCTGGAAGCCTCTGCCCGAGGCCAGTAGCGTCCCATTTGCAGGGGCAAGGGAGAAAGCGGGTGGTTTCCCAGGACCGAGGGCTGATGTGCTGGGATGGGCGAGCGCGAGAAGCCCTGTACTCGAGCGTAGGGTCAGAAGCGCAGCGAATGGGACAGCCGAGGGGCGCGTCGGCTGCGGGGAGTACGGAGGAGATGCTCAGGCACGGCCCCCAGCCACGCTGCTGGCCCCCGCTGCCCCCGGGCC